GTGTACCTATACTTTGATTTATGTAAACTGTTGTAGAACACAGGTATATAAAGGACAAAACCACCAGTACGGTGCCACGTACGTACACGCCCAGACCAGTTTATTTATAGACCTAAAATTCTCCAACAAAAAGAAACGTGTCGTACTTCTTTGCGCTTACTTACCCGAACACTAAAATCAAAAATTCTCGTCTGGCAACTCAAGTTAGTAAACATGCCGGGGAGCCTTCCTACACATTTTTAAACACTTACGGAACTTCCTTTTTCCAGGGGTGGGGAAAAAAATTTACCACAACACACCACAATGTCTATGACCACTAGAAGTCTTGGATTTCTGTTGGCCGACCAAGGAAAATAGGTAAAGAGCGTGTTGTTGGGCCACGACGGGAGTCTCAGGACCCTGGAGGAAGGGATGAGGTTGAAGTACTCGGCCTCTGCCACTCTTTTGTGTACGTACTGAACTGACTCTTTTTATAAATATCTATTAAATCTATCTATTTATATAAAAACGACTTGTCGTGAGGATGAATATACTTAATCTGGTGTACCCTCAATTTAGTCGGCACTATGTTTCTCCAACTATTCGTCCTCAAGTTCAGTAGTGATTGTGATTGGACGATGTACTGAATTTCGTCCCCGACAGTTTGAGTAAAGTAGTGGGCCCGGGAGCATTCCTTGGAATACCAACGTGAGTTTCCCGCAACATCGAATTCTGATTATTATTTTTATGTATACATTTAACTTATATATTTTTTTATTACATAATATAATGTAATAACGGAGGACGTAACCTAAATAAATACCCTATCCCCTTATCGAAGTATAATTGAATGCAGACTTGTCTTCATATCCCGTTAATTAACGTTCAGACGAAGTCACTTTTCAGTGTTAATAAATTTTTCTTTATATATATTTAACGACCCCTTTTCAATTTGTTTTTTCCTGGTAAACTCTTTTTCCTGTAAACTTTTTCACTGTAAAACTTGTTTTTGCCTGTTTTTTCAGCCCCGTTTTCAGTTCAGACTCCTTTTCTGTAAGATTCTTTTTTCGTATAAAACTCCCTTTTTTCCGTTTAAGTCTCTTTTTCAGATTTAAACTCTCGTTTGTGTGTTCCCCCTCCCCGCGATGTAGCGCATTAATTTCAAGTTTTCAGAGTTTTTACAATTGAAGACAGTGTTTGAACCTACTACATTCATTAAAACAATTTCTCTTTTACTTCGCATTGAGTGGGGGGGAACGTTTGACCTCTGTCATTGCCAACAAAGGGTATATAACAAAGTATTGATATGAACTTTTGTTATTGACCAAATA